GGCTGTTGTGAACAGTGCTGTAATGAACATACGGGTGCAGATGTCATTTTTACTGTGCTTTTATGCACAATGGAATTTCAGTATATATTGTCAGAAGTGGTATTTCTGGGTCATATGGAAGATCAATTTCTAGTTTTTTAAGGAATGCCCATGTTGTTTTCCAAAAAGGCTGGAATAGCCAGCATTTCTCCAACAATGAAAGAGAGTCCCTTTCTCCCCACATCAGCACCAGCACTTGTTCTTATACTTTTTGATGTGTGCCAGTCTCTGTGGTGTGAGATGATATCTCATTGTTGTTCTGATTTGCATCTCCCTGATGATTAGAGATGAAAAAATCATGTGCCTTCTGGCTATTGTATTTCTTTTTTTGAGGAAGCTTCTGTTCATTTTTTCTTCCCATTTTTTGATTGGGTTGGAGTTTTTTCTTATACAATTCTGCTAGTGTCTTGTATATCCTGGATATTAACCCCTTATCAGATGGGTATTGAGTAAATTTTCTTTCCCATTCCATGGGATCTCTTTGTATTTTGGTCACTGTTTTTTTTGAGGTGCAGAAGCTTCTTATTTATATATATATTATATATGTATATTATATATATTATAGTCCCATTTGTTTATATTTGTTTCCACTTGCTTGGTCAGTGATGTTTTATCCGTAAAGATGATTTTAGCTTCAATGTCATGGATGGTTCTACAGATTTAATGTGGTCATTATCAGGATACTCATGACATTTTTCTAAGAAATAGACAAAACACTCCTGAAATTTATATGGAAAAAAAATCCCCACTAATAGCTAAAGCAATCCTTGGGAAAAAAAGAAGATGGGTGTCATCACTTTCCCCAATTTCAAACTGTACTACAAAGCAGTAGTGATTAAAACAGCATGGTATTGCTCTCAAAACAGACCTGCCGACCAATGGAACAAAGTAGAATATTCTGTCATAGACTCTCAAATATATGATCATTTAATCTTTGATAAAGGAGCAAGAAATGTGAAATGGAACAAGGAAAGCCTCTACAAAAATTGGTGCTGGGAAAACTGGACAGCTAGCTACCTGAAAAAATAAAAATGAACTCTGACCTCTGTCTATTGCCAGGCACAAAAGTCAGATCAAAGTGGATTAAAGATCTCAATATCAGACCTGAATCCATAAGGTACATGGAAGAAATTGTAGGCAAGATACAGTTATTAATCTTAAAAATAAATACTATTGACTGACCAAAAAAATGTGACTGTTAAGGAGGCTGTCTGGGTGGGGGGAGGGATCTTGGGAGGAATTGATTGACACTTCTGAAAAGAAGTTGACACTCTTGATAAGATTGGTGTTGGAACATCGTATAACTGAAAATCTAGCATGATCAAAATTGTAAATTGTACCATCTACATAAAAATATTAAAATAAAAAGTTAAAAATAAACCACTCATATGAACCAGCAGTTCCACTCTTTATCATCTATCCAAGGAACAAAAAATTAACTTCAAAAAATATATGCACATCTATCTTCCTTGCATCATAATTGATAATAGTCAAGATGTAGAAACATTCCAAATTTCCAGTAACATGAATGCATAAAGAATCTGTAAAAGGGCTAGAGAGATAGATAGCACAGCGGGTAGAGTGTTTGCCTTGCACGTGGCCGACCAGGGTTCGATTCCCAGCATCCCATATGGTCTCCTGAGCACCAGGAGTAACTCCTGAGTGCAGAGCCAGGAGTAACCCCTGTGCATCGCTGGGTGTGACCCAAAAAGCAAAAAAAAAAAAATCTTTAGCTTACATATACAATGGAATATATAAAATTGATAAAGAATTTATTGCTTGTGTACACTACTCAGGTATAAGAGAAGAAGAGAAAAGAAAAAATGAAATCTTGCCTTTTACAACAGAATGAACAGTATTGGATTAAACAAACCTTGAACATAAGGACCATGGGAAGGATCTTTGGCATTTTTGTTATGGTATAAGTGAAGTATCTTTGTATACCAAAAGCATAAACAATCACTATTTTAATCCTCTATGTTACCTCAATATCAATAGAAAATAAACTTTTTTTTTCTTTTTGGGTCACACCCGGCAATGCACAGGGTTTACTCCTGGCTCTGCACTCAGGAATTACTCTTGACAGTGCTCAGGGGACCATATGGGATGCTGGGAATCGAACCCCGGTCAGCTGCGTGCAAGGCAAACGCCCTACCTGCTGTGCTATCTATCCAGCCCCAAAAATAAACTTTTTAATTAATTAATTAATTAATTAATTTATTGAATCACTGTGGGAAAAGTTATAAAGCTTTCAGGTTTAAGTCTCAGTCATGCAAATATCAAACACATTTCCCTTTACCAATACTTATTTTTCACCACGAAGAACCCCAATAAACCCCCCTCCCAATCCTCCCAATGCCTGTGAGGCAGATGAATTCTAGTCAACACTCTATCTACTTTGATTAGATTCATTGTTTCAACAAAGGATGCACCATTATTAGAAAATAAACTTTTTAAAAATAAAGAGTGGCCAGGATATGAGTTCCCAAAACAGCTGTGTTTACAGAAACTCTTTTTTTTTTTAAGATTTCGGCACCATGATTTTTTAAAAAAGCTTTTTTTTTTTTTAAAAAAAAGGCTTTTAATAAGAGAATTTTGGGCATTCAGTACTTTACTCCAAATCCACCACCAGTATCAGCATCCATTTACCAATAATCAAAGGTTTCCTCCCTACCCTCCTTAGCAAATTATATAAATTTGGCTTTAAAATTTTACTTATTTTATTTATATAGTAAGCTTTAATATTGCATTTCCAAAATTTAATTATTTTAAATTTTATTATAGCTTATGTCACATAAGAAACTTTTTTCTTTTAGAAAATAAAAAATCTGCACCTAAATTTCTTAGTTATATCTATTTCTCTGTTGAGTGAAAATAAAACAATGGGATTGTTATCCTACAGGATGTGCTTTCTAAACAAGCTGATTCATTGTGGTAATTAATGGAACATAGTTCTATAGTTCTTCAGAAACAGAGAGAGAGAGGGAGAGAGAGGAGACAGAGAGAGAGATTGGTATATAGATAGAGAGAGAGGGCGAGCTCAAGCAGTTGCTGTGTTATCTGTGTGTCTAAAAACACAAATAATTAAAGACTTGGAGTGAGAGGCAGGGTGTCAAGGAGAGAAAACGCAGTTAGCACATTAACTGGTGCTATTGAAGCTCCTCCTGACCGATACAGTTGGCACATTCATTGGTGGTATTCAGGTGCCTCCTGACTAATAAGGAACTCTATCAACATCAAATTCATGTCTGTAAATTTATTACGGGGTAGCGGGTCAGGGAGACAGCTCAAAGGGTTTGAGTGCATAATTGGACACTGGAGTCCTGGGTTTAATCTTTCTGACATAGCCAGGAGCCACGAACACCTCTACACATGGTTTCCAAACCTAATATATTCTAGCTTTCTCCTCCTCAGCTTCTGGACAAATAAATAAGAGCATTTGGTGGCTTTTTACACATGTGATGGGAAAAAAAATCATTAAACATTCCTTAAACAAAAGTGTAATTTTTTTGATGAAGAAAAATTATTATTAAATTTTTAAATTTTATTAAAGCACCATAAATTTATCTTTGATAAATGAGTCTATTTCTTCGCACCCCCCACAAACTTTTTGTGGGGTGTGTATGTCTGTGTGTGTATTTGAGTGTGTAAATATGAGTGTGTAATATTTATTCAAACATTGAATGTCAAAAGAAAACAAAACAAGAGATTCTTCTCTGAATTTGGGGAAGAATTGTTGAAGCAGAGGCAAAACTTCAGACTTTCAATTCCTCTTGCATTTGATAGGAGAGAGAGAGGGAGAGAGGGAGAGGGCAGAGAGAGAGAGAGAGAGAGAGAGAGAGAGAGAGAGAGAGAGAGAGAAGGTACCTGCCATAGAGCATAGAGGCAGGCCTGAGTGGGAGTTGTGGGGGAGAGAGAAACTGGGACATTGGTTTTGGGAAGTTACACTGGTGGAGGAATGCGTGTTGGAACATTGTATGACTGAAACTCAATCATAAATAGTTTTTTAATGCTCTATGTCACAGTGGTTCAATAAAATACATAAAGAATAATTAAAAATTAAAGAGCTTCTTTAAAATAAAAGACGGGCTAAAAATAAAAGACAGCTAACTGAGTGGAAGAAAATAATTTTGGTAAATACATTAGATAAATATATCCAAAATGTATAGAGTACTCACAAAGATCAACAACAACAACAAAAAATCTATCTTATAAAATAGATAATAACCAACTAAGCAAAAAAGAAAAAAAAAGTACGATATTATTTCCTAAGTCTTGAGAAAAACAAATAAACAAAAATCGAAGTACAGACTAATCTTGTTTTTGTTTTTTTCTTTCTTTTTTTTTTTTTTAGGAATACTCCACTGTTTTGGCACCTATAATAAGTATTTTCTTAACCACAAATAACTCTGTAACTGTATTTCTGGTGATTCAATTAAAAAAAATAAAAAATAAGTATTTTCTTGACGACCAATTCACATGAAGATATTTATTTATGTTATTTAATTTTTTAAAAGATAGGGTTAGAGATATTATTCAGAAGATAGGTTATTTTTCTTATATGCTACCCACCCAAGTTCAATTCCTGGCATCCTATATGGTCCTTGAGCCAGCCAGAACTAATTCCTGAGTGCTGCACCACTCTGTGGCTATACATGAAAACAGAAAAAATTAAAAATAAATAAATAAATAAATAAATAAATAAAAAGACTTGCTCATTGGGTCGGTGTGGTTTCTCAAATTTTCACACTTTCATGATTTAAAAATTGACATGTCAGAGAAATCAAAAAAGAAAAAATAAATATAAACCTCTGTACATTTTCCCCTACTAACTGTGGGGTAGGGTTCTCAAAGTGTATTTAAGTGGACAGATAAGGAAACACATAAATTGTGTATATCAATGTCCAGCCCTAGATGTGAGTTGATTTCAATACTGACAACACAAACTCAACATATTGTACCTTAAAGATGAATTTGCTGGCGCACTTGATACCTGCTGGGTGCAAAGGAAGGCAAGTTTCACCGTGCTTCTCCTGACTCCTCAGCTCTGATATGTGAAGGACAGAGGCACCATCCTGAATTCTCATGATGATATTCCCTTTTATACAGAGTGGAGGAGTTACAAAATCCTTCAGCGTTTCAGTCATCTAAGCCAAATTGGTATCAGAATCAGACAATATCTTTCTCCGGACACTGTCGCTTTCCCTTGTGATAGGAGATGTTGCTAAACAAATCCCAAACCTAGCAGCCTTATCCGACCTGGGTCATTAAGCTTCTGTTTTGGCAAGTCAGAGCATTTATGCTCTGACTTGGCCTGAACCAAGAGAAAAGGTTTCAAACACGTACTGGATTATCAAGTGCCCTGCTCCTCTGAGACTTGTGAAAAATCACTCTATGTTTCTCAGGGTACAACAGGGATTGGAATGGTGGAAGGAGTGTGTCTTGGGTGTAACATTACAGGAAGACTCAGAGAGGCAGCTTGTTCTTTGGAGTCATTAATCCTTGAAGAGAATCCGGTGATGACATATCACGGTCTGCTCAGTTCTGTTCTCTCGTTGGAGCATTGACTCCTGGTAAGTGCTTTGCAGTAAAATATACCCCAAGTGACATCGTCTTCTTATTTTAGAATGTAGCTCTTATTCCATTATAGAGGAGCACATTTTATTCTTAGGAAAAATGTTCACTCATATGATGCTAAAGCAGCTCTGGTTTTGATCAAATTCTTTAAGCTGCAATCAAGAGGGCAAGAGAAAGGTTATTAAGATTCCTCCCTCCTTTCCTCCCTTCCCTCCTCCCTCCCTCCATTCCTTCCTTCCTCCCTCCTTTCCTCCCTTCCTCCCTCCCTCCCTCCCTCCCTCCCTCCCTCCCTCCCTCCCTCCCTCCCTCCCTCCCTCCCTCCCTCCCTCCCTTCCTTCCTTCCTTCCTTCCTTCCTTCCTTCCTTCCTTCCTTCCTTCCTCTATAAGCCACTGATGAGTTTAGAGAGCCACTGAATGAGCTGTAATTGCCAGTGTTTGATTTGACTCTCAATTTCTGTGTGATCAACTTCTATTTTCAGTGCCTCATGATCTGAAAAGATAGTTGATACAACTTTTTGATTTTATGGAGGCATGTTTTGCATTATGTAATCTATCTTGGAGCAAATACCCCATGTGGATTGGAGAAGAATGTGTATTTGGATTTTGGGGGTTGAAAAGCCCTGTATAACTATTAGCCCCCTCTCTTTCATTTTTTCCTTCAAAGCCAGTATTTCCTTGCTGAGTTTTAGTTTCATTGATCTATCAAGAGGTAACAAAGTGATGTTGAAATCTCCATCTACTATAGTGTTGCTACAAATGTCCTCCTTTAAGTATATTAGCAGTTGCTTAAGGGGCTACTGTAAGGCAAGACAAACCTCATAAACACATCAAACTTCTAAAGAAAGATGGCACCCTCCTCACAGTCATATCTTTCAAAGTCAATGATCTAAACAAACCAATTAAGAGACATAGTATGGCAAAATGAATTTACAAATTAATTAAATCCAACGTTCTGCTGCCTATAAGAAATACATTTTTTAAATTTATTTATTGAATCACTGTGGGAAAAGTTACAAAGCTTTCAGGTTTAAGTCTCGGTCATGCAATTATCAAACATATTTCCCTTCACCAATACTTATTTTTCACCACCAAGAACCCCAATAGATTCCCCCCTACCCTCCCAATGCCTGTGAGGCAGATGAACTCTAGTTAACACTCTATCTACTTTGATTAGATTAATTGTTTCAACAAAAGATGCACCATTACTATTTAGAGTTTACACCTCCAAATCCAACATGCTGAAAAGGCATTGTGAAATAATTTGTTTTCTACAGCTTGTTACAAGAATCAAATGATGTGCGGCCGGATTTCTGGTATTTTACTTATTAGCCTGGAAGTACTTCTGCTGAGAGTCAGATAATTGTGAGATTCGTTTCTGTGCTCTGAGCCATGGCCGTGCCGGAAAGTCACTCGTGGGGGGCAACTCCTGACCTCGGTAGGGCGTGAAGGATGAGCCAGTTATGCCCCCCTTCCCATGAGGTTTCAGTCACCCCGTCACAACCGGCTCATACCTGGCTTTACAAAAAGCTCCGAGGAAGCTGCCATCTTTCTTTCCAGAGGGAAGAAGGTGGAAGGGACCAACACCCTTTTTCCTCCGGGTAGGCATAGTGGCTTGGATTAATGCATAGTCTATTCACTTTTCTGCCACAAGCTGCCGGGCTCTGCATTAAGTCCTTGTGCTTCTGGAGCCATGGCCGTGCTGGAGAGCCGCTCATGAGCGGCAACTCCTGACCTCAGAAGAAATACATTTGAGTAATCACAGTAAACACAGACTCAAAGTCAAATGCTGGAAAACAAGTCTTCAAGTAAATAACTCCTTCATAAAGGCCAGCGTAGCCATACTAGTATCTGATGACATTTATTTCAGGTTGAACGGTTAGAAGAGACAGAAAAATTTATTTCATAATAACCAAGGGATATGTATGTACATCAGGAAGAAATGACACTCCTAAACAGTATGCACTCAATGAGAGACCGGCAAAATAGTTAAAATATCCAAACCAGAATAACAGCTAAGAACCTTCTCCTGCCTTTAACTGATCTGCTTTGTATGTGGTGGGGTGTAATCCTGACTTGAGGGGGAAAATACAACTCCTGAGCACAAAGTAACAACCTATTCAACATGGGTGAAATTCCTCGATTTTCTTGACTCTATTCTTGTAATGATTAGACAGCACCCCTACCATCTGCATGTCAATTACCTCCCACAACCTCCCAAGGTTTCCTCTTCTCCCTCCCATTACAGCTTGAGTTTAGTGAACTGTTGGCTATATGCAGGATAAGTTTCCACTGGGAACTATTCTTTGCTTTATATTTTTGTATTACACATATGTGCAAGGTCAGTCAGTGCTTATCTTTTACCTCCTGACCCTCTTAATATGACTTCATCCAACTCCATCTATATTGCAGCAAACAGTAAGATTTCCTTTTTTTTCTCATAGATGTGTACAAATCCGTATAAAACACAGTTTGGGGCTATTTATTCATTCATCTGTGATTGAGCACGTTTCCATTGTTGAAAATAACACTGAAATAAAAATAGATGTGCAAGTAGTTTTTTGAGTAAATATCTTTGTGTACTTTAGATGGATGTAAAAGAGTGGCATCCCTGGTCACAGTTCTATTTTAATTTTTAAAAAACTCTTAGGGCTGGAGCGATAGCACAGTGGTAGGGTGTTCGCCTTACAAGCGGCCAACATGGCCAACCCGAGTTCGATTCCTCTGCCCCTCTCGGAGAGCCCGGCAAGCTACCGAGAGTATTCGATATGCCAAACACAGTAACAACAAAGTCTCCAATGGAGACGTTACTGGGCCCGCTCGAGCAAATCGACGATCAACGGGAGGGCCTTTACCTTTACCTTTACCTTTTAAAAAACTCTTCTATACTGTTTTCTGTTGAGATTGGACTAGATGACATTCCCATTGGAGTTCATGAGGGTTCCTGCATTTTCACTGCATCCCTAGCAGCATTGCTTGCTTTCAATTTTCTTTAGTATATTCTTTAATCTCCTGTTTACTAGACAGGTGCTTTAACCAGCTAAGCCACGGTGCCGGCTGGAGCGATAGCACAGCGGGTAGGGTATTCGCCTTACAAGTGGCCAACATGGCTGACCCGAGTTCGATTCCTTCGCCCCTCTCAGAGAGCCCGGCAAGCTACCGAGAGTATTCAATATGCCAGACACAGTAACAACAAAGTCTCCAATGGAGACATTACTGGGCCCGCTCGAGCAAATCGATGATCAACGGGAGGGCCTTTACCTTTACCTTTTATTCTTTAATCTAGACACTGTAATTTATTAAGCTGACAATATCAATAAGAGACTTTGGAGCACACAATGTTCTATTTCAATCCAATTGATGTAGGCAGGAGACAGGAAAGGCTCCCTCCCTAGGCAATGGCAAAAGCCAGCCTTGCAGAAAGTAGGAAATACAGGAACTAAAGCCTGATAAGACCCTCATCTATCTATAGTAACAGACCCAGGGAAACTCCTGCAAGAACAAAAAGCCAGAAAAGGAATTTCAAAGAACTTCCCTGGTAACCTCCTTAGTAATGGGCCCGCCTGGAGACAGGTTGGAGAAACCTTACAAAGGCCACATTGAAAAAAGGAAGGGCGCGCATATGCTGCCTGAGCCCATGTGCTGCTTGTGCCCACGTGGCCATTGTGTCGCCAGCATCTCACCTCTTGAGATGTGTACTTTCATGCTTTCGTGCCTAATTCTAGGATGTGTGTAGGGGCTCTTCCGCCCTTGGAGAAGCCCATGTTCTCTCTTGAGTACGTTATTCTCTCACTCTATCCCCCTCCACACCTTAAAAAAGTCCTCCAGTTTTGCCAGCACAATTTGTTAACTTTCCTTGCTCCACTTCACATTTCTTGCTCCCTTATCAAAGATTAGATGATCATATGTTTGGGGGGAGATGTCAATATATTCAACCCTCTTCCATTGGTCTGCAGCTCTGCTTTTGTTCCAGTACATGCTGTTTTAATTATTACTGCTTTGTAGTAGAGTTTGAAGTTAGGGTGGTTGATTCCTTCCATTTTCTTTTTCCCAAGAATTGCTTTAGCTATTCCTGGGAGCTTATTGTCCCATATGACTTTCAGGAGTGTTTACTCCATTTCTTTGAAGAATATCATGGGTAATATGACATTGAAGCTAATGGTATCTTCAAAGATGTCACACCACTGGCCAAGTATGTGAAAGCAGAGATAGACAAATGAGACTATCTTAAACTAAGAAGCTTCTGCACCTCAAAAAAAAACACTGACCAAAATACAAAGACAGTCTACAGAATGGGAAAGAATATTCGCCCAACATACATCCAACAAGGGGTTGATATCAAGGATATACAAAGTACTGGTTGAACTCCACAAGAAGAAAACATCCAACCCCATCAAAAAATGGGGCGACGAAATGAACAGAAACTTTCTCAAAGAAGAAATCCGAATGGCTAAAAGGCACATGAGAAAATGCTCTACA